ACGACGGCGCAGCCATGGCGTGTCCACAGCGGCGAGCAAGGGGGGCTTTGGGTGCTCACCGGTGGTGGCATGGTAGATAGGCTGGTGGTGTGGTGGCGAGGCGAGGCCGTGGCGAGAGGTAGCAGTGCAGTGTTGAACCGCTACGGCGAGGAAGACGATCATGTGTCGTCTTCTTCTCCAGTGAGCTCAAGCAACTTCGGCGGGCTCGGCTCCTTCCTTCCCTCCATGTCCTTCCTCCTTCTCCTCCTCTAGGGCATTTGTGGTGGTCGTGGGTTGCCACCAGGTGGCGGTAGGGTGAGGGTGAGGTGCTAGGGCACTGGGGGTGCCCTCTTATAGGGAGGCTATGATCATGGTGGAGCGGTGGGCGGCGGAGAAGGGCAGAGGGGGTACGTGTAGGGCTGATACGGCCTCTAGGCTAGGGTTTTGGGAGCGCGGGGTGGTTGCTAGTGCTCCCAATTCGAGCGGTGTTCGGTCAAAAAGGCAGACAGGGTGGCGTCAGCCATCGGGGTCATGGCGACAATGTCAGCTCAGCGTTGCCGTTGCTAGGGGAGGGATCCTGGCGTCCATCCGTGGGCGTGCATCCAACGGCTCGAGGGTGAACGGTGGGGATGCGAGGACGTGGCCTCGGATTCTCTCGCCGACGAGGTACTCTACTCAGCGGGGGGAAAAGCAGACGAGGGGGAGAGCGAGGGGGATGACAAGGGGTCCCACGGGGCCTGCCTGTCGGTCACCCGGCGAGAGGGCAAGCAGGGGCGTGGGCGAGCGGGAGCTGGGCCACGGCCTTGTTGGGTCGGCTAGTGGTGCGCACGTGAGAGCGGGCGCGGGTGCTGGGCCATGGCCTTGCTGGGCCGGTAGCGGCTGTTGGGCTGCTTTGGCCTTTCTATTTCTTTCCCCTTTTCTAATTCCTTTTCTATTTCTTATTTCCACTCTATGTTATAGCTTGGGCTCCTATGCATGTATACATGTGTTGCCAAGCATGTACACATCCTTATGGGGTCCACTAGGGGTCAACTAGGGTATTAGGGTCAAAGCCAAGGGTTGGCAACACACACACACAACAAGTTATTTATAAAAGTTAAGTTGATTTTATTTTAGCACATAAAATCATGAAGAAGCAACTCACAAGTTGTTTAATATGCAAATGCTCAACCATGCTAACTTGGGATCTACTTTTGCAACTACAAGGGTGGTTTCCTAGTATGCACACTCACCATGCATGGGTTTTGTTAGAAAAATTTTTAAGTTCAGATTTTTTGTTATTGGAAAAAAACCTGGGTTGTTACAGCCTGTCCCTGGGAAGGTCCCTCAGATGAGAACCACCGCCAGGGCGTGGCCCCCGAAGCTCGGCGGGGGGTAGGTTTTGATGGGTGACTTGGTCACCGCTGCGTAAGCCGCTGCGGCAATCGTGAAGATGAGGGGTAGTCTTCACGGATGTAGCTTGGTTTCCTAAGAGGTGCCGGGTGTTCTTGGTTCGCCCATGTGCTTCGCCGGTGGGCGATGTTGTAACACCCAAACTATCTTTGCATGTGATTTATTGATGGTTTTTACTTCTTGTTCACTTTTGCTGTCGCCCTACCCTTGTTGTTTTTACATTATTTTTGTCTTAGCTCGGCATAAGTGGGTCCACGTTCTCTATCTACGGATGATTACTCGTAGTGTGCAGACTTTGGTTAGGGGTTGTGTGGCGTAGGCGACAAGAGTGTGCACTGGCAGGGGGCCTCACGTAAGCTCCCCCCATGGGCCATGACATTTGACCGTACATGAGAAGCCGGTCAGGACGTCTTGAAGGTGGAATGCTTTCGAGATGAAACACGTGGGTTCCATGTTCTTAAGTTTATTCTATGCTTTAGTTTAACCAGTCGGATTCGTTATTGCATCTATGCGCGTATGTGAATGTGATCAAATAACAAAGAAAGGGACATGATTGATATCACCGATGCTTGTTTAGGGAGCGGGCGCTCGCCCTATGCTGCTACTCGTGTTGAGGCAAACTTCTGTGCGCTCGCTTGTGGCAGGGTTGTCGTGGTTCCTAGGCTTCGGGCTGGTGATGACGCTTCTTTGCTGCTTGGAGGGGTTGTAGCTAGTGTGGATCATCCTCTCGGTCTTCCGAGGGCCGGTCCTTGCCGGTTCGACTCCCTCGACGGGTCCGTGAGCCCCCGAGGATGGCTTCTTCGAGTTCAGACCGCTATAGCTTCTGGCCGGGAGGGCTCATGTGTTTTGGCGCCCGAGCCTTCATGGCGCAATGACATCACGGTCGTCGTGTCCCCACCTCTGGGTGCAGCTGCCGCTCTTGACTAAGAGCTAGCGTGTCCTGTCACTGCGGAAGTGGGTTCTGAGTGCGACGCGGTTTGGTCCGCTCGGTGCGGTGCACGGCGCGCTCAGGGAGCCCACTTCCTCAGTTGCACGCGCCTCCGAGTGACAGCTGACAGCATGATAGGCGGTTTGCCCGCCATATAGGATTGGATCCTGGTTCTGGGCTTGGCCTTACGAGGCATGGCGCTAGGTAGCCACCTGACCATTAATGACATTGCTGTGTGGCGGCAGGTAGTTTCGTCATCCGTGCGTGCCCTGACACATGGCGTCCCGCTAGTTGCGGAGACGCTGTTCCAGGCGTGGTTCTACCGCCAGATCCGAGCTCCCCCTGAGGTTGAACTAGACGGGGTAGAAGCTGGTGATGGGTGCTGACCCATTAGTATGGATAACCTTGTGGTTCCCCAAAGGGATGTGGCCAGTTGAGGCCATTCTCTAGGCGAGTTCGTCATGAGCCACGGACCTTCGGCTTCCTAGGTGGAAGACTTGGCCGTGGTCGATGATGAGAGAGGGTACTGACCCCCCTACATAGGTGAACCTCGGGATGCTACCGCTGGGGGCAGTTCTGAGAGTGTGCCCACCGCGGGCCACGGGACCCAGATATCCATGGCGGAGGCTTGGGTCGTAGTTGTAGGTGGATGTGGGCACTGGCTCTTTGACGTCGGTGAACTCGTAGTTTTCATGGCGGATGTGGCCACTGTGGGCCATTCCGCCAGCAAGTCCACCAACGGTGCGAGGAGCCATCGCTTCCTGCTCAACAATTGAGAGTGCGCGACAGTCCCCTACCTGGTGCGCCAACTGTCGGTATTTTGTAAACCGGACTAGTAAATTTATACGATTGCCGCGCTGCTCTAGGAAGACGATGGTAGCATCCAAAAGACACGATGATTTATACTGGTTCAAGCCGAAGCCCTACGTCCAGTCTCAAAGATGATCGAGTGCGTGTTCTTCGCTTGAATGCTCTGAAGTTCTTACAATGGGGGGTGCAAGAATGGTGGAAGAGGTTGGAGAACTAGAGCTAGGAGATGGACTGCTTGAAGGGAAGCTCTAGGAGCCCTACTACGATGGAGAATGAGTAAAATGATAGAGGATGTCTGAAGATGGTGCCATGGCTACCCTTATATAGAGTTTGGGGCCAGGGCGTATACAAAGAAGGATGTTCTCCCGACCGAAGGGTCGTGAGCCTGAGGGAGGTCCTAACTAACTTGGCTTGCAAGCTACACCGTCCTATGGAGCACGTTTGGACGTGGTTGTCATCATGGTCTTGTGGCCACGTCGCGGCATGGTGTGGCGTGGTGCTACTGTGCCGGTCGTGGCGGCACTGTAGGCACGGTGGTGGTTCGCCAGCCATCCTATGCGACATGGTCTCCACCGTGGTCTTCGTCATCGCCTCTTGGTTTCCGAGAACATCATACAGGAGTTGGTAGCCACCCCCGGATCATCGATCGCCCTATGGGATTGAGGAGCTGAGGGCCACGATCCCGACCGTTGGGGTCATGGCTCCCGTCGGGTTGGATGGCTTCTAAGTCAAGGCCCTCATCGTGGATCCCATCCCGTAGTGGGTAGAATCGTATAGGTATCTTGTCGGGCCGTATCTGGACGGTGGGCTCTGTACCGGCCGTCATCGCCTTGGGCAGTGTTGTCTTGTCCGCGCTGCGTGGCGCAGGGGTGGCGTCTGACCGGACCGAGGTGACCGCTGTCCCCTCGGTCCTTGCGGGGTCAGTGCGGCATGCCTACTCTTGTCAGAGCGGGCAGGTTTGGCTGGGTGTGACCTCTCCGCGTTCCTCCCAGGGGTCGTGATGGTGAGGAGGTCGTGAGTCTTCTATTCGTTATGCGGCTGAGACAGAAGGAAGGGGTCGTGGCTGACCTTGACCTTGGCGTCTGGCCTGGTTTGCTTGGCTCAGCTGGGCCTTGGTCGTTCGGGCCTTTTGCTAGCTGATTTGTTGTGGGCCACATGGCCCGCCAATTAGTCGGTGCCTTGAGACATCTCGGGTGTACAACCCCGACAATACTGCTACTTGGTTGAGGCAGGCACTTGCGTGTGTCATAAACCTCTTAAACGATGATTGTAATGTTTTGCCCAGTTAAATCAAGCTCTGTTTACCCTGCAAAAAAAACCATCCTCCAAAACCATCCAAGGGGATATGCCTAGTTTTGTAGTTTAGGGGGATTAATAAGTTTACGAACCTCAATACCTAAGGTGGTTATGTAGACTTGTTATTTCAATCAACGCAGGATGAAGTTCAGTTTAGTCTCATCATATAAGATGTTGAAGAGTTTGCTATTGGGAAGCATAGTTTGCGTTTTCCCCTGATGGACGAGCTGAAGCATAGTAGATCATCTGTGCTCAGGGATGATTCGATCAAGCAATACAAATGTAATTACACATACATGCACGAGATTAATTATAACAGCAAAATGTACCAATGGATGTACCAAAATGTACACACACATGTTCGTGCTGCACAACTTTGCATTGCCCTGTCTGAGTTGATATATAGCATTAGTGGTATTAACTTGTTGCACGCATTACATCCTTGCAAGCATAATTGCTTGCCAGAAACAGCAAATATACACACACTCATGCCCATCCAATGCAAATCCTATACAGGAAGGAGTATGATGGTTTGGTTTCTCTTCTGTGCCGCCCTCGATCCCACAGCACAAAAAAATGGCAGCCCGATCGACCGCTAGCACGGCTGGCCGACGATGCACTTGAGTGGTCCGGCGAAGCGCGTGAGCTGGCCGACGTAGCGGCCGTGCTTGGCCGGGATGAAGTCGAACTTGTCGTACTTGCGCTCGTTCTGGCCGCCGGACTCGTTGAAGAAGGCGCCGTTCATCATGACGTCGCCCTGCGACTTCCACACCCACTCCTTGTAGTCCTTGTACGGCGTGTACTCCCGCTTGGTCACCTCCTTGGCGTTGGGGTCGTCGGGGGCGATGAAGCGGTTCCCCTGGCTGATGATGGTGGGGTTCTTGTTCCCGCCGATGGCGTACATGATCCAGTGCGTGTAGTCGTTGTTCACCACGTGGAAGAAGCCGTAGCGGCACCTCGGCATCCGCTGCACCAGCCCCCTGCCGAAGTGGTTGAACGCCACCGTGATCTGCATCACCTCGTCCTGCGGGTTGTCGTTGCTGGCGCCGAACAGCATCACGTGGTCGTGGCGCGTGAAGTGGCTGTTGGACACGGTGATGGCCGTGGACCCGTTCACGACGTCGATGAGCCCGTCGGCGCAGGACGACATGGACACGTGGTCGATCCACACGTTGCTGGACGAGAGCACGGAGATGCCGTCGCCGTCGCTGCGCGTGCGCAGGCCGTAGTGGCGCTTGGAGTCGCGGATCATGCCGCCCGAGTGCGCCTTGGCGTCGTGGATGTGGAGGTTGTGGAGGATCACGTCGTGCACGTTCTGCAGCGTGATCTGCGCGTACACGATGTGCACCTGCGCGCCGCGCCCGTCGATGGTCTTGTTGCTGCTCACGATCAGCTCCTGCCGCAGCCGGATCACCATGTCGCGCGCGAACACGATCCACAGCGGGCGGTCCTGGATCACGGCGTGCCGGAGCGTGCCCTTCCGCGGGATGATCATCTCGTCGTCGCTCGGGTCCCTCACCACGTACAGCTTCCCGGCCGCGCCGCCGACGGTCTTGTGCCCGAACCCGCGCGCGCACTGCGCCAGGCGCTTTCGGTCCGTCGCCCAGTCGGCGCGGCAGCGCCAGCACCGGTCGATGGGGTTCGTCGCCATGCACGGGCCGTTGTACCTCGCCAGGGCGCGCCGCGTCGTCGCCCTCAGCACGTCCACGTTGAAGCGGTTCATGGCGGCCACGGGGTCGCTGACGTAGGCGGCGCGGTTGCGCGACCGGGCCGCCTCGGCGCGCGCCGCCCAGTACTCCTCGTCGGAGGTGACGTTATTATTGGATGCCTGCGCCGCGGCTGCAACCGAGGCGAGGACGACGACGCAGAAGAGAACGGACAGGGGGCGGCTCCTTATTACGGCCGCCATCGACATTGTGTGTGTGCGCGCCTCACCGCGGGAAAGGGTTCAGAGATGTATGTATGGGGTCGAAGGTTTCTGAGCCCTCCCCGGCCGGTGAGCGTGCGGGCGGCGTGCGGCACCTCTGGGCGCAGGAGCGAGCGAGGTGCGCACGGTGCGGTGTGCGGTGGTGGCCCAGCGCAGGTATATATAGCGCCTGCGACGGTGCGACCGCGACCCCATGCATGGGCTTTGGCTGGACGTCGTTGCTGCTCTGTTTTGGAGCCGGGGGCGCGAGGAGGAAGGCGGGCCGCTACCTCTGTTTGGTGCATCAGGCGTAAGGCATTTGAGGTTTCTGGCTGCCAAGCATGAAGAAACACCTAATCAAAAGGCCCTGCCTTGCCAGTGCCAGCAGGTAATCAAAAGGCCAAAACTCTGTCGTCCCGATTGGAACGTGAGTTTTTGCTAGTTTTGAAACTTGGTAAGCGGCCGGGCACTACCCATTCTCCGGTGGGACAGCACTACCCATTTTAAAACAGAAATGCTATACAACACACGTGTGTTTTAACATAAAAAAACATATGGATTTTTTTTATCTCTCTCTCTCTTTCTCACATGCAACTCGCGTCCGTACTCTCCGCCAAAGACGCCGGTGAGCAGGCCGCATACATTTGGCTCGGCAGCATCACGCTCCAGCACCTCGAGCTCCTCGGCCCCTTGTGTCCCCAACGCCATGGCGTGCGCATGCTGGCTGACGCCCAAGGCACACCACGTACGATCATAGCTCGCCGGACGCCGGCCGCAGCAGCGAGCAAGAGCGACCAGATATGACGCCTGTCATGCACGATCTGTCATGGACCAACGCCATGAGGGCGAGCAGCCTGGGCACCGGCGGCGGCTACCTGCGGCGGTGGCGGATCTGTGATTTGTCCTTCCATAGAAAAAAAAATATTTCATGTGATCTATGGATCTGTGATCTTGTGATTGTCTGAATGTAGAAGAAGGCTGGAGGTAGAAGAAGGGTAGAGGCTATTAGATCTTAATCTTATGGTGCAAAAAAAATTCATATGTTGAAATTATATAAAACACATGGTTGTGTAGTAGACAAACTCTTTTAAAAAGATACTTTGGTCATTCAAAAAGTTTTGAAACTTGGTACATCTATAATTCATGCACTCACGTGCAAACATTGAGGTGCAAACTCGAATTAGAAATATTCATACGAAAATAATAAATTTCAGATGCACGTGCACTGTAAGACAGAAATCCTGAGACTTTGTCATGTAGTGCAAATACATATGGAATTTGTTATTTTTGTATGATTTTTTCTTGTTTGAGTTTGTATGTTAACTTTTGCATGTGAGTACATATATGTATGCACTATAAACGTAACAAGTTTCCAAATATTTTAAATGACCGGAGTACATTTTTTGGAATAGTTTGCATGTTTATGCCTAGTACCTATACGTTACATACTTTCGGGACCTAGTTGGCACCAAAGCCAAAATCAATGATTGAAGGTACATGTCATTAGACTTTGTTTGGATATACTCGTAGATGGATCAATTCAACTCACTTCTTTTCAAAAAAAAAAAAATTACCAGCAAAATACTTCATCCGTTCCAAAATAAATCTATATGTCACTTTTTGAGAAGGTTTGACTCAGTATATAGAAAATAATATCAATATTTATAATTTTAAATAAGTTTTATTATAAAAATATATTCCACAAACAATGCAACGATACTTTTATACCTCATAAATATTACTTCCTCGGTTCTAAATTATTAGATGTTTTGTCCTTGTTAGATACATTGTTTTCATTATTAATCTATACATAAATTGTAATAATACATTCTAAATTGGAATTTGAGGGAGTAGTATTTTTCATATATCTAATCAAACTTATAGTAAAATTATTTTGGGATGGAGGTACTAGCATTTGAGCTCGTCACTCAAATTAGAAACTAAAATAAATTGTAAAGTTCTCGGGCCAAGAAAATATGCACAATTTTTTTATAGGGCTAAGAATCTAATTTTGGGGCTGCATCTGGCATCTCCCTTCGTCGCCGTCTGCTTTGGCGCCGCCGCCGCCGCCCGATTCTTCGGCCACCTCTGCCCGATTCTTTGGCCACCTCTGCAAAAGGTTCGATCCACTCCTCTTCTATCCCTCCGGCTTCCAATTTTGATGTCTGCATCCAAACTGCGGAGTTTAGGGTACGCACTTAACATCTTCGCCGTCCTATTGCATCTGGCCCCCATCAGGCGATCCTCGTCGGCGGCGCCGCAAAAATGTCGGTCTCGAAGACGGTGTCGACGAGCGCCGCGAAGACGGAGATAGGCATGCATGTGTTTCGCATCGTCGGGTACAGCCAGCACCCTCGCCGTCACGAGGATTCTCCCATAGTGTCCGGCAGTTTCTCCGTCGGCGGCCATGACTGGGCCATGCTTATTGTGGCTGATGGGTTAAACAACGAAGACCACACTGATTGCATCCCGATTTCGCTCATGCTCTTGAACCCTGTTGCCGCGGGGGTACTGGCGTCCTGGGAGGTGAGGTTGGTCAACCAGAGCACTGGGTTATCCTTCACGGTGCACAAGGAGACACCGAAGGTATTCGATGGTGATGATAACATGGTAGCTGTTTGCTGGATAAAAAGGAGCCTGTTAGAATCGCCAGCATACCTCCAGAATGATCGCCTCACAGTCGAGTGCATTGTCACTGTTATAAAAAAACCAAGGGTATCTAAAGCCAAATCATTTCCCAGAATCGGCGTGCCACCATCCAACATGGCTGAGCATTTTGGTAGTCTGTTGGAAACAGACGTGGGAGTGGATGCAACTTTCATTGTGGGTGCTGAGGCTTTCACGGTACACAAGATTGTCCTTGCCGCACGGTCGTCTGTATTCAAAGCTGAGCTCTACGGGCCTATGAAAGAGGAAGGAATGGGGCCTATAACCATCAAAGATATGCAACCAGATGTTTTCAGGACCTTGCTGCATTTCGTCTATACTGACTCTTTGCCTCCCTTGGATGATCTTGAGGCAGATGATCATAGTGAAATGATCCGTCACTTGCTTGTGGCTGCGGATCGATATGCCATTGAGAGGCTAAAGCTCATTTGCCAAAGCATTCTTTGTGAAAATCTTAATGTGCAGACTGTGGCAACAACTCTGGCTTTAGCTGACCAACATAATTGTGACTTGCTGAAGAATGCTTGCATTGATTTTATCACCTGTTCAAATGAGATGGATGATTTGTTGTCAACTCAAGGTTACAAGAATCTGAAAAGAACCTGTCCTGCTGTTGTAATGGATGCACTTGAGAAGAGAAGCAAGTTCCGTAAGGCGTGAGCAGTTTATCTTAAGCTGAATCTATCTGTTCAAAGTTGTTTCACTAAAAATGATTAGCTTGCCAGCTTTTAGCAGTGCAGCTCATCCTAACTTGAACCTATGGATGAATAGCTCACTGTTAAATGAGTCTAAGAGAGGTTAGCCTGCTAGTGTTAATGTGTCCTCTCACCATTTGTTGGTGAAGTCTTAAGACTTTGCAAACAAAACGCTGATTGTATCTCCTGTTGCCTGAAGTATGATTGTGCACTTCTCTGCAAGGCTGATGTTCCCAATATTACCATTAGACTTCTACAGATGTTTCCTTGCCATCTGCGACCTTTGTTGCATATTTAAATTTCCATGTACTTTAAACTTTTGATGCTATCACAATTTTAGTTGTGCTTCCATGGAAATTAAGTTTAACCATTTATGCAACAATGGAAGTACAATTTTGCGTAAGTTTTTAGGCTCATGTGCTTTGACTGTTTCCTCAAATAAAACATTATCATGCTGAATTCTTGTTTTGTGTAAATGAAAGTGACTTGTAATGGTGCCAAAGGTAATTCTGAAGACTGGGTTCTTGTAGTTGATCAACAGCTACAGTCATAGTGTCTAAGCCCTTTGTTGCAGGTGTGTCTTTGGGGTGTTGTTTCAAAGGGCTTAGGCACTATATTTTGGAATGACTTGAGCCTCAGAAGTAAGTATTTGACCTTCAGGAATTTGTCTTTTTGACGCTTAGGATTTCAATAGACAATTACACTTAGATTTACAGATTGGATTGACTGCAATTAGACTATTTGCTTCAATCGTAATTAATGAATATTAGGTTCTTTGTCAATTGTTCTACTGGCATATCCATGTTAAAATTAAGAATATTGTTGCAATAGTCAAGCAGTCTCGATGAATGAAGAAACAATAAAATTATTTAGTTCTAGAAGAATTATCTACACTGGCCTGCATATATTGGAGTTTATGACGTTAATGGAAATGCTAAGTTTCATGGCATTTTGCATAGTGTGTCAAAGTCAGACAGCACCAAGTTCATTCTGTCGTAACTCCATTGTTCAGACAACACCAAGCTGATTCTGTCTTAACTCTTTAGTTGGCAAATTGTTCCTTCTATGTTTAAATAATTGACGGCAACATTATCTCGGCGAGGACAAGTCGTCTAGTTCGATGGTGGTTGGTAACTTCAGCGTTGGGATGCAGTTACAGACCGTGCTCATAGCGTCTTCACTCTTCAGGGTTTGCTTTTGTTTGTTTGATTACCTTGCATGCCTGCTCCATTGATTCCAGCGTACACTGATGAGGAAAGGGGAGATGGCAAGGGAACCGAATGATGTTGCGGCTGTTGCCTATGCTTTAATTGAGTTAATCTTGCCGTTATTGCATCTCCTGAATTTTTAGCGACACAGGTAAATCCTTTTTTTTCCCGACCAAGGTAAATCCATTTTCTGAAGCTTCAACTAGGCCCTTTTTCGTTTGAACTTATTAGCCCGGCTTATCAGCCATGGTACAGTGTTTTTCTCTCACAACAGATCAGCATCAGCCGACTTATCAGCCACATGTTTCTATTTTGCTGTCTTCCAATGGCAGCAAGGTACAAATACTCATAAGTATTTATCTCCTTTTGAAAGTCTGTCATACTTGTAGGATCTGGTTTTTCATAGCAAATTCGCATGCAATATTTCGTTTTAGAGTTGCGTGCTATGAGGAAAGCCCAATTTTCTGGTGGGAAGCTCACGGTGAGAATGGATTGATGCTGAAGTTAGGGGGGGTTTATCCAGAAAGAGGCCGTCATGCACACTAGATTTATCGATTGGCAATGGGATTGATTGAGTCGATCTCTTTAATTCATTGGAATTGGTATATATAAATGATTAATTTTTATATGCCAGATCTGTAACTATCATGACCATTTTTTGTATGTACAAGGTCTGTAATTAGTTGAAAACCAACAAGCCATTACCATGTGAGAGGTCTTCAACATGCCCTAATCTAACTACGAGATTGATTTGTAGCAAGGCTATTTATGTCCTTTCATTCTTTTTTTTCTCATCTCAAATAAACAGAAAAGATGCATATCGTTGCATTAAAGAAGAGAATCCAAATGACACGCCACACGACACCCACACTTTACATTGAACATATGCGCCCATGAGAAATAAAAGAATTAGACGACCCAGTCTCAACCATCAGACCTCAGGGTTTGCCTTGTTTGTGCGCTAGTCCGACATTGTCACTCTCTGCTCCACGCAACATTAACACTTCTGGGCGAAGTGTGGCACGTACCGGCCCCGTTCGCTTAGAGAAATCTGGATGAATCTGAAGAAATTTGTGAGAGAAAAATACTATTCCGGATGAAAAAAGAAGCGGATCAAGATGGGTTTTTAAGCACGCGAATGAGCAGGGGCCACTACGGGTTTTTGATCAACGATTTTAATTTTTCAAGCAATTAGTATGCCCATTCACACGCGTGAAACTAGACCACCTTCCGATCATATATCTTCACACTGTAGACCAAAGCCTAGATTGTTGACGACCGGTTAGCACAAAAAAAAGCATGGCAACGTTTCAACGATCCTAGCGTCTCTGCAGAGATCTTTTATTAGGTGCAGACCAGCGGTTTGGTGAACCACTTCCATGCAAGGTCACCAGATCGTCCTGTTTATCCTTTCCAACCCAGACTCCCTTTTACTCAGCTGGTGATGCATCATAGTTTACCTCGCAGCTACGTTTTCCAGCATTTTCTAAATTCAAGGTGAAACAAAAAAGCATTAGTAACAATACAAAAATAAAACAGCGCCTAATTCTGAACAAAAAAAAAACTGTTATTAGATTGCAAATCCATTGCTTACCAAGTAATTTGATAGCTTCCTTTTATCTTCCTACTGCTTTTTCAAAATTGCACTCTCTGCATGCTCTACAGATTTCAATCCTAATTGTGGAAGAAAAACAAATCACACTTTATATTTTTTAGCAGACAGAAGAAACAACTATACAAAAATGACAGGAGGCTGACAAACGGTAGACAAATTCACAATTCCATATTATTCATCCTGAAAAGTGTCAAGGAAACAGATTCCATATGATAGCAACCTTATCGATGCCCACTGCCCACAGAGTGCAAGGAAATGAAGAAGGTGAATGTAATTGTTCAATACGTACAAGGAAGTGATATGTCTATCATACAACCTAGCATTGTCTTGGAAGCGGAAAACGATAATCATCCACAAGCAAGATTTCTTGTGACGTTATTCTGAAATATGTATAAATGGTTTGAAAGCTTACCCAATACCCATACAACTCATCATGGTAGTCTGTCTTTTCTCATTCACAGATTTGCTGCTTTCAGTATTTCCCAGAATCTACAGATATGCCACCAGCAGAATAATCTTCTATTTCAGACCAAGGAATTGTATCTGCATATATATTCAATAATAATAACATATCTACAAAGCCAGATCTTCGGCTATCCTCAGCATCCAGCACCCTTGATGGTGACGACAATTCACCTGTTTTATGAAAACATGCAATTTGTAGCCCAAAAAAGACCCATTATGATGCTCAAGTCATCACATAAGAAAACCTAAACCAATATTGCCTAGACTCAGATTTTTTTCTCATTTTGAACATCCTTGACATTTGCAGTTTCAGAATTTGAAGAAACAGAATTGGCAGAATGGCGTATCTGTTCCTTCAGGCTTCCATGCTTGGAATTCTTTTTTGCGGCTGTGAAGTGTGGGAGGGGATCATAAGATAGATCAGTGTAAACTATCAACTATGTAAAACATCCAAAAACTTGTCAGGACCATGTATTAAAAACTAGTAGACGACATATGTCATAGTTACAACATGAATGCCGGTAATACAATAAGCAAAGTTACCCTTGCTCTTCCGCCTATTTGACTTTGCTTCAACAACTTCAAAACTTTGCTCTTCCCATGTAGCGGAATCATTGGAATTTGCATCATCCTCCTAAAATCAGTACATCCAAAAGAAAAATTATATCAATGAACATGATATTAAAAGGCTATGTTGTTGTTGTTGTAACATGATATTAAAAGAAAGGAAAAGGAATAACAGTTAACAGAAAGACTTGATAAAGGAAGAAAGAAAGTGGTAGAGGAATCACAATTGATTGTGAAATTGTATGCATAGGATATTCCGATGTTGGTACATGCAATGCCAGTATCAGCCGTATATTTATAATGTATTGATATAGTGAATGGTGCCATGCTTTCATAATTTTCCCATTCATAAAAAAATCGCTTAGATTGACCAGAAGAAAATAAAATTAGTAGATGTGTCATCACAAGGACTTATGTTCTATTATTAATGTTTACTGGCATGGAGTAATTATAGGTAATAATCAAAGCTACACATTGGAGTTATCGCTCGCTGGTGTCCCCAGCTTGGAACATGGAAAAACTCATATGCTTTCTTTATAAGCTGGGTATTACCTCGCTCTACAAAAAACTACACAATGGAGACCATGTCAACATCTGAAACTGCGGTGAGGATAGTTAACAGATTGAAGCAAAAGATAAACCATGAGCGAAAGAGATAAGAAAAGACGTGAATTGTTGTGAAACAGATTTCCCAGTGAACAATAGTTACCATATTGTATAACCATTTTGAGTTTTTCTTTTCAAACAGTAAAGCATTGGGCTACTTAGATTAGCACAACAAATCAATTATTTGTCTTCTAAACTGCAAGCTCAAGCTCATGATGTCAGCTCTTAGTATCCATGGGAAGTTCAGTACAACCTCAGAGAAGTATGAAACAGAACGATACAATTACAGAATAAGCAAGCAGACAAAAAACATAAGATTAATGCAGTCCAACGTTTGTTCAAAAAGAGTACCAAGAGATGACTCAATTCAAGTGATAAATTTACTTGTTCATTCATCTATACCTCCTCTTGATGTTCCATGTCTTGGCGAATCCATGCAGCCTGCAACGACCGCCCATCATCCAGTGACACATTCTCTTCTCTCCGCCCACCGATTCTAACTTCCAACCTCTCAGTGCTCACCTTCACCTCCTCAGGTTCACGACTCTGGCACCCAATTGTCCTTGGCTGTGGACAGTACTTCAACAGAACCTTCAGCTCCTACATCACATACCAACAATGTAATCATCACATGATTCTAGCATGAAAGAGTAACGCCTAATTAATCAACCAATCAGCGCCTATATAAGTAGATTAGAAGAGAAAAACTCACACTTCAACATTTGTATGATATTGGAAAACAAGAGAGAAACCAGCGAGTTCATGGACCATCAAGAATATTGGCCCAAATAACATCTGAAGAGGAAGAAGCATAAAACAGAACAGAAATATAAAGGAAGCAAATCTTCCTGCTCCATATCAAGTTCCTCTTAGTCGGGTTGATCTCACTGGTGGCCACGGGTGTTACAGCTACTACACAGATATGAACAAGTAAATCACAGAATTGCAGGCAAATGATAAATGATGTAAAATCCGTTCTATGTATACATGTAGGAGAAAAGTCATACATCACAAATAAGCACCCTAGTAGACTGATGAGAACACAAGTACACACAGAGAGAAATGTGTGTAAGCATGTTGAACCGTTCATCGCCTCATAAACCTTGGACCCTTGAAATTTCATACCTGCAAGAGAGGTGGTGCTGGTTCCAGTGCTGATGAACTTGAGGGGGAGCTCATCGCCAGACAGATTAAAGCATAGCCAGTCCAACGCCGATTCAAACGTCGCCGAATCCTACCTCATAAAAAACAAGACACGCAAAAGGACACGACAACAAGCTGGACCAAACCAAAAAGAAAACAGATTTCTACACAAACAAGGGCGACAATTCCTGATCCAGTGTACCCCAAACATTTAGAAGTTCTTGTTCACATGAACAAGTGAACACAAGCAGGCCTCACACTACAAACAGCAGCCCCTCTTTTAGCCAACGACTAATTTTGATGCACCCCTGCAATCTGTGTATCATACAAAGAAAGGCAAATAAACCCTCCTTCTGTATGAATTCATGAATCAAAAAGTATGATTGACTGGATTTTAGATTTTTGAATGCATCAGTAATTCACTACATTTCAACTCAATGAAAACTGGGTCTAATTCAATATAAGAGAACACAATCCAGAGCAATAATAACTTAGTATAGAATATCTTGTGACAGCATGTACCAGATTAAAAACGAAATTATCCGCGATTATTTAACCACCTCGATCCTATTACAAGATCACGCAGGCAGGATTGCGAATCCACAACAGCCAGCCCAGCCTTAACCATATCACCACATACTAGAACACAAAGTCACACAATAATAAAGTAGCCCACAAGGAGAAACAGATTTCTTAGATCTTGTCGATGTCCTCGTCCTCGAACTGGATGTAGTCGCTGCCCTCCTCGCCGTCCTCGGGCCCATCGACGTCGACGCCCTCGTTGAGCCTGGAGCGTCTCGGGGAGCTCCCCGTAGGGCCTTGAGCAGGCGCGCCTCGTCGTTCATGTACTTGAGGATGACGTCGGCCTTGTCGTCCTGGTAGTCGCGGAGGCCGACGAGGACGATGTCCCCGGCCGCGATCCAGACCTTCTTGTGCATCTTGCCCCGGATGTGGCAGAGGCGGCGCGTGCCGTCGACGCAGATGGCCTCGCACCGCCCGTTGCCGAGCATCCGGGTCACCTGCGCGTACTCCTGCCCGTCTTCCTTGAAGACGAGCTCGCGCTTGTCGTCGTCGGCCTCGTTCTTACCACGCTTCCGGTTCTTGCCTCCCTTACCCTTGTTCTTCGGCATCTTCGCGGAGGACGAGAGCGGCGAGAAGAAACCCTAGGCGCGAGATCGAGGTGGGGAAAGGGAGCGGTGCGGGTTGCGGTTCGTGGGTGTGGTGTGTTGGGAGGAGGGTGCGGCGGGCGGCGGCGAGTTTATAGGGTGAACGCGTGGGGAGGAGGGGTGGAGGCCTATGGTTCGTTGGATCTAGGGTTGGGCGGCGTGGACCGCTGGGATAGGGAGGGCGGGGTCTCTGTTTCTGGATAGGTCTCGTTTGGTTACCATGTACTCCGCGCTCCGCGTGCCTTTTCAACAACGGGTCCGTCTCCCCCCCTCTCTCTCTCTCTCTAAAAAAAAAAAGAGTCCATCTCAAAAAATAAGGAGGAGTACACGTTAGCCTTTCTGAGGAGTCGAGTCAATTTTTTAAATTTATTTGACTAACTAACTATATATAAAAATACATATATTTATGATGTGCAACAATTAGCTTTAAATGGATAGCGATATATATTTTCATAATAAATTTATTCAGAAATGTAATGGAGACTACTTTCTACATTTGGTTAAAATTTAAAAATATTTGTCTCCTCAAAAAGTGAGACGTCCACTTGTTTTAAGATTGAAGGAGTATACAAAGCGGTGGGGCGTATCATGTCCAAAAACACGCTACACGTGCGATGTGGTTCACTTCCGAGTGAGCTTCCATGTTACGTTTAAATCCGCATTTGTCAATCGTGTGTGGGAATGGATCGTGGCATGATCCACATCGACCTACTGGGGGAGAGAAAAATCCCCACTTGTAGCGTGGAACGGTCGGATGCCCGTGAGTTACGACCTCGCGTCGGATGCTTCTCCTCACGTGTCGCCACCTTCGAGAGTCGAGACATTTGTCGTCTTCTCGTCGACGTCATCCAACAGCTCCTCGGTGGATTCAGGTGTTAGGTCCCCTCCACAATCTCCATCTCATCTTGTCTCCCTTCCCCTCCCCCTTCCTCTTCTCCTCATTGATGGATGGATGCAGACAAGGAATAAAAGAGATCTTAGTTTTTTTTAAGTTTGGATTGGAACCTGAGTGTTAGAAACTTTTCGCGACAAAATCTCTATGCTAATGAGAGCAGCATATTGACAATTGAAGCATTTCCGGAAATGTGTGCTGCCTTTTGGTAATTAAATTGGGTAACCATATAACCAACCGTACATGGAAAACAGACAAGCCATTAGCCTCAGATACTGTGCATTTCCTTTCGATTTGATACAACTAGGTTCGTACCCGTGCATTGCTATGGAACAACTAAACTTTTATATTAAAAACATAGGAATCGCACAATAAGATAACAATACTGTGAAATTAAATACCGACGTTAAAGTAACATTTAATCCAAAAGGCAAAGTTCGTGATATTAACAGTCACAGGGAGCAAGGCGTCGCAGGCTCACAAGCTCTACTGTATAGTCCTTTCCGTGATGCGGCTAAGGTAACGTTTTATATCGGCAGGAAGAAATCTCCGATATCCATGTGCGCCAATAAATCCACGAATAAGTTTCGCCGCATCTACATTACCCATGCTAATGCTACGGGATGTTTCGTAGTGCAAATTAAACAAGCAAAAGGCAATACATATCTTGGTATTCAAGCATAGAATGAGATATATTAAGGTACATGTATAGAGAGAGAGAGCTATTATATTTAAGTCCCCCAAAAAAGCACCAAAGTCCCTTCAAATATCATGAAAGTTAGCAGGCCATTGATCTGACCAATTTCATGAACAATCACTAATGGGGGACAAACTAGTTGTCGGCTTCAGATTTCATGGAATATATGTTACTCCAATACTCTGTAGTATTTTTCCAAAAGTAAAACAGTGCTAAACACAGAAGAAACCAGCAAATAGGTTGAGGTATTCCGTCGTAGAATCTGTTTTCTTTACTCCAAGTCCAGCACCATGCTGTCCACCGCCAGTCTCCATCCCCTCCATCCTCACAAAGGTGCCATGTTGGTAGCATCCCCTTCCATAAATTCAAATTTTGGATTTAGCACAATACATGAAAGTACTATTATAAAAATTGAATCCGCAGTATTATGATTTTTTTGAAGACATGGCAAACAATCATGAAGGAACCTAAGCTAGCAAACAAAGAAAATTAGCGCATGTGACGAGGGGTTATCACAGACGCGGATTGTCTAAACGCGTCTGTGATGATGAACTGAAAAATTAAAAAAATATATATCAATGCCAGGTCGCACATGATACTATACAATTTATTTCATCATCATCTTACAGACAAAATGCCAGGAATGTACCTTGCGCTAGAGACTCCAGAAATGTATATTGACAGACATTGGCACGGTGCAAACGCTATTGAGTTGTAAATGGTCCTAGACTCCTAGTGACGTTTCCTTTACACTCGATTGCAGAATGAGTGAAATGGGATTTGCTGCAGCAGTGGCTAGTGAAAGTCTAAAAGATACATTTGCTTCCACAAGTTTCTATCAGACAGTTTTGCTTATGACATCATTCATATCAGCTTAGGATGAACATTTGATTTCTTAAACTAAATTCTTCGAGGGCAAGCTAAGCAACTGTGCTATACCGAAACTATAATAAACAAAATATAAACCAGCGCAAACCTTGTCTAACTCTAGGAATACCTAGTTGTGATGCTGCCATGAATGGAAGCTCGCTCCCTGAGCAAATGCACTCTTGGTGATAAGCCACCGGTGGCCTGGCCAGGATTCAGACTTGGTAAGATCATTGGATTATATTGCTTATTTCTATTAGTTAAAATATTGTAAAAAGGAAAGGTGAGGGTGGTTGGTTGGTTGGGGGAATGGCACAGCCTTAGTGGCCTGCAGACCTACGTTTCTCTTCTTCTCTCCTGTCGCTTGTTTCATCAGGTAGGACTTCTTGCCAGAATAGTATGTGATTTGACTATTTGAGTATTACCAAAATAATCATGGAATATTAGTTCTGGTGTGAAAACTATTTGAAAACGATGCCAGCCGCCAGCACATATTTTCAACAAGCATTTTGAAAATACACATGGCTACAATTTGTATTGTTTGATTGTTTAAATTTTATTTATGCAAGACCACTCTTTCAGTGGTATGACAAGGTGTCACTATTGTCACTTTGTCAGGTTGAGTAAATCACCCTCTCTATCCCACAAACAAACATAGAGTTATTTAGAGTTAGAATAAACTGATTGAGCCTATAGCATGTGAATTTTGGCATGATCTCCAGGATCAGGAACATGACTTTGGTTTGTGTAGAAAGTAAATGAATCTGCATGAAGATCAAGGTACGGGGAGCTTGAGATGAGATGCGCTGGGCCTGCTACTGCACAGCTCTCGTCGATGCGTCGGGCATGCTACTGTAGTTCTAGTCAGTATGGAACAGAGATCACCAGCAGGAATTTTAGCAAAGAGATCAAAGAAGCAGAAAAAGAAAAATAGAACACTCTTTATATTTATGGATGGTTGATAATTCAAGTGCTAGCAATATATTTTTGGAAAAAAAGACACATTAAAGCACACCATTCGAACTAAACTATTGAGGAGGCTAACCCACATTCTAACTTGTAAAATCAATATCCCAATTATAATAACTCCAATTCATTGATTGTTCATCATAAAATCATCTTAAATCAAACCCTATTTATCCATACCAGTTCCATAATCTTTTGGGCTCATTTGAATATACCAAAATACAACCAGACCATGAGCATTGTAAGGTATCATACCAAAATACACCCAGACCAGGAAGCATTGTAAGGCATAATACCTTGGATGGAATTCATTTTGGTATAGAACTCTGGTCAACTTTCTTCTCTAGTGTTTCGAATAAAGCCTCTACATCTATTTCTCTTGCCTCAGAAGCATCTGTAACGTGTTTTTTTTCCAAAAATGGGAAAAAATATATCACTGGATCCTCTGCCGATAGAATACATATTCCACTGTACGTGTACCCATGTCTTATCTCAAGTACTTAGCTAACATTAACACAAAAATATCTACAGTAAATGAACATGTCATGCTTCTCCCAAACATTAAGCAACATTTCTCCTCCAGGGTTACAATAACAAATTCAATGTTTGGTAACCTTGAAAGCATGGATACTAAAGCAACAGGTATTGATGAGGCTCCTGTCCAAGCCTACAAATATAGATCATGTGGAAAGAATGTAATCACTAATCAACAAGATACCAAAGAACTAAAAGTGCTAAACATATGCCAAAGGCCAAAGGCTTTAGTGTACCAAAAGTCCAAAATAGCACAAGGAAATTTTGTTGGCAACCACCTGATTTGATTATGCTAATCCAACTACAGTTACCACTCTAAGCTAGATTACAGTAAAACAAAGGTAGCACACTTTTGCATCACAAACAATATGACAACGGTCCTTACACCATGAGAAGTATATAAAGAAAATTCTTGCCTCAGCCATAGGGAATTGTCGATGTTTCACCACCGATAGCCTGCCACGGGGGTACCCCACGGGGGTACCAGGGGCAGTTTGTTCGGGCTTCGGCGTATACAGAACTCGACGGTAAACGCAAGAGACAGTCGATTTATCCTGGTTTGGGCCCTTGACCGTGATCGAGTAATAGCCCTACGTCCAGTCGGCGTTAGCCTTTGCGTTGGATTGATTGTTAGCTGTTTGTTTCTCCTTTCTCTGGCTTGCTTCTGATTCTTGGTCTCACCATCGTAGCCCTGGGCAAAGGGTGATATATTGGACTCAGATTCGTCCGATGACCTGATGTCGGGTGCTTCTAGGAGGACCAATGGTGATCGAGGACGGCGAACCATGAATACTTCTCGTGCGTGAATTGTTCTGTTATCGACGTCGTTTTCCACACTGTCGGAGTTGCTGATAACTTTAGTAGAGTCTTCAAGGTCGTAGATCGAGTCTCCTTCTTGGTAGGGTAGAATTGCTGTTGTCGTCGTGCCAACTAGTTGGGTACTGCTATCCTCAGGAACAGAACCTGGCCAGTGGACGATGCAGTCTCGAGATGTTTTAGTTAGTACGA